TTTATTATGCTTTCCCTAAATAATTATGATTCTTCTTTCAATAATGGTGAAGCTTATAAGAGCTGCTTATATTAATTTTTATTTGGATGAAAATCAAAAGTTTTAAATAGGGATTTTATAAATTGTTTGATATTTATTTATTTATTATTATTATTATTTTTTTTTATAAATTCAAAGGTTTTATTTTAGTATGAATTACATAAGGGCCAATAAATGTGTGTTATGTGTTGAGGCATAAATATGGATTTTTTCATAATGTTGAAATTACTAAATGTAACACTTTGAAAAAACTCTTTAGTATACTTTTTCTAAATGTAATATTCTAATATAACACTCAAAAAACGTAACACTCTAATATAACAAACAAAAAAAATTTAGTATATTTGTTTTCAAACGTAATAATGTAACATTCAAAAAAAAAAAAAAAAAAACTCCTTAATGTACTTTTTTTAAACGTAACATTCCAATCAATGTAACACATAAAAACTCCTTATTATATATTTTTCAAACGCAACACTCTAATGTAATATACTAAAAAACTCCTTAGTGTATTTTTCTCAAATATAATAATGTAACATTTTAAAAAATTTCCTTAGTATACTTTTCTCAAACAAAAAAAAAAAAAAAAAAACTCCTTAATGTACTTTTTTTAAACGTAACATTCCAATCAATGTAACACATGAAAACTCCTTATTATACATTTTTCAAACGCAACACTCTAATGTAACATACTAAAAAACTCCTTAGTGTATTTTTCTCAAATATAATAATGTAACATTTTAAAAAATTTCCTTAGTATACTTTTCTCAAACGTAACACTCCAATATAACACATTAAAAAACTCTTTAGTATATTTTTCTCAAATGTAATCATGCAATATTTTAAAAGAACTCCTTAGGGTATTTTTTTTTTTTTCAAACGTAACACTCTATCAATGTAACACGAAAAAATTTCTTAGTATACTTTTTTCAAATGTAGCACTGTAATGTAACACTCCAATGTAATACCACAAAATCATAGTAACAGAAATATAGGCTCCGTTTTGTAAGAGTTTTGAATTATAGTTCCACCCACTGATTTGAGTGTGCTATTTGTTTTGAGCTTTCAAATCATAATTTTACACTCATTTCTCAAAACTTAATTCAAAACATAATCATTACTTTTTAAAATTCATAACTAAACACATAATTCAAAACTTTCAAGCTCATCTTTCCCAAACACATGTTTGAAACCAAACACAAAACACAAACCAAACTCATAACCAAACACAAAACACATAATTCAAACTCATAACCAAACACATGTTTGTTTTGAGATTTCAACGTTCGACAATCAACACTTTAGCTACCAATCACCCCAAAAAGAATCTTTCAAGCTCATATTTCCCTTCCCATCCCAAAAACGCATCAAAAAATTTAAAAATGAATCACAAAAAAAACATACACTTAAACTCAAATAATAACAAATAAAATAAATACAAATTTTTAAAATAAAAAGAACTAATTGGTTTATATGAAAACTCTTAAAATTAAATAGATCAATATTTTCTCATATAGAATTTATGGATAAATTTTCTTTTTTATTTTAAAAGTTTGTATTATAATATTTGGTGTAATTTCACTATGATAATTATTTGGAGAAAAAAAAAAAGGTTAATTATTGACAAGTAAGCAGGATAGTACTTTTAACTTTTATTAGGTTTATTATATACTTTTATAAATAGCAATTGACCGTTTCGATAGACGGATTAATTTTTTTTTAAATAATATTTTATAAAATTAAGTTAAATTATTTATATATGTCTATATATAAATTATTTCTAGAAATATTTTACAATCTATATATTTCAAAAGAATAATATTAATTTTATCATAATATAAAATATAACAATAATAAATATATAAAATAATTTTAGTTGAATTATTTATGTATGTATATTTATGCATACATATGTATAAAATTATTTAAAAAATATATTATGAAATATTGTGTAAATAATCCGTTGAATTATGAAAGTGTATTTTAAATAAATATATATATATATACATGATAATAAAATAAGTATTAATTTTAATATTAGAAATAGTAATTAAATTAGAGAAAAAAGTCATTTAAAATTAAAGAATGATTTTAACTATAATTTAAACCATGTTGTTCTATAAAAGCGTCACTTAAATATATATAATTTTATTTTAATTATTTATATGTATGTTAATAATCTTAACCGTATTGTGCTATATAATTGCAATAAATATATATAATGAGTTTATATGATATTGAATTATAACAAAATAAAATAAGCACTCATTTTGACATTATTGATAATAGTTAAATAGGAGATTTATTAAAAAAATCTTTTTCAAGTGTTTGTATCTTAATTAGTCCATAAGATATTTTTGTATTCAATAAGTCATATTATTTAAACATTTGATTTACCAAATCCTAATTCTCTTATTTAAAATATTTTATGGACATTTTTACCTTTATAAATATTTTTTGAATGATTAGCAATTTGGTAATGTAAACATTCATATTTTATAATGTGAATATTCACATGTGAACATTCAAATTGACAGTGTAAACATTCACATCACGGAACATTCACATTGTAAATGTGAATATTATTAGGGGTATTTTGGTAACTATGTCACTCATAGGACTTATTAGAATATTAAAAAAATAATGTGGACTAAATAGAACATAAATAAGTAAAAAAGGATTTATGAAAAAGTGTCCCTAGTTCAATTGGAAGAAAAATTAATAACATAAAATGAAAAGTGATTATAATTTTTTTAATTTGGAAATAAAAATATGTCGAAGTAGAAATTATATCAAATTTATTTTAAAAAATTAAATATAAGTACCTTGTGGTTGAATTAAAAATAATTAATTAATTATGTTGAGTATTGATTTTTCTTTAATATTATTTTTATACTGTTTCTACATATTGTATATAATTATATATATAGTTATATTAAATTTAAATTAAATGTAGATTTTTAAATATAAATATTAAAAAATAGGAAATAGTATATTTAATTTTAATATAAAATTTGAATACTTGAATAAAAGTGAGAAAAATAGAAGAAAATTAATTCATAAAATATTTTTTTGTACATATAATTCTATTAACTTTTATTTATGGGTAGTTTAGATTAATTAGAAATCTTTTAAATATTAGATTTTAGAAATAATTTGTATAAGTGTGTGTTACATGGCATTTTTTTTTTAAAAAAAAAGAAGAAGAAAAGAGACACTACAAAAAAATTGACTTTTTGCGACTGTAAAATACCGTCGTTAATACTCCTAATGCCGTCGCAAAAACTTTTTGCGACGGCAAAATGACTTTTTGCGACGGCAAGAGGGAGTCGCAAATGGAGGGGTCGCAAAAGAGTTTTTGCGACGGCAATGTTTTTGAGACGGCATTTTTGCCTTTTGCGACGGCACTGTGCAGTCGCTAATAGTGTTTGACATTTTTTGACTTTTTGCGACGGCACTATTTTACCGTCGCTAAAAATATTATTTGAGACGGCAAAATATGCCGTCGCTAATAGTCTTTTTTTGCAACGGCAAAAACACTGTTTTTGCGACGGTAAAATACCGTCGCTAATACTCCTAATGTCGTCGCAAAAATTTTTTGCGACGGCAAAATGACTTTTTGCGACGGCAAGAGGGGGTCGCAAATGGAGGGGTCGCAAAAGAGTTTTTGCGACGGCAATGTTTTTGCGACGGCACTGTGCAGTCGCTAATAGTGTTTGACATTTCTTGACTTTTTGTGACGACACTATTTTACCGTCACTAAAAATATTATTTGAGACTGCAAAATATACCGTCGCTAATAGTCTTTTTTTGCAACGGCAAAAACACTGTTTTTGCGACGGTAAAATACCGTCGCTAATACTCCTAATGCTGTCGCAAAAACTTTTTGCGACGGCAAAATGACTTTTTGCGACGGCAAGAGGGGGTCGCAAATGGAGGGGTTGCAAAAGAGTTTTTGCGATGTTTTTGCGACAGCATTTTTGCCTTTTGCGACGGCACTGTTCAGTCGCTAATAGTGTTTGACATTTCTTGACTTTTTGCGACGACACTATTTTACCGTCGCTAAAAATATTATTTGAGACGGCAAAATATACCGTCGCTAATAGTCTTTTTTTGCAACGACAAAAACACTGTTTTTGCGACGGTGTGGTGCCGTCGCAAAAAGTATTAAAAATATGAAAATTTTTATTTTTTGCGACAGTGTAATACCGTCGCAAAAAGTATTAAAAAAATAATAAAATTTCTATTTTAAAGAATAAAATTTCTATTTTTTGCGACAGTTTAATATCGTCGCAAAAAGTAAAACCTGTAACAAAATCAATAAAAATAATAATTTTTTTTTGTTTTTTGCGACAGTGTAACACTGTTTTTGCGACGGTGTGGTGCCGTCGCAAAAAGTATTAAAAATATGAAAATTTTTATTTTTTGCGACAGTGTAATACCGTCGCAAAAAGTATTAAAAAAATAATAAAATTTCTATTTTAAAGAATAAAATTTCTATTTTTTGCGACAGTTTAATATCATCGCAAAAAGTAAAACCTGTAACAAAATCAATAAAAATAATAAATTTTTTTGTTTTTTGCGACAGTGTAGTGCCGTCACAAAAAAGAAAAAAAAATCCTCTGATAAAATTATTAAAAATATTAAAATTTCTCCATAATAATATAAAAATTCCTGTATAAAATAACAATTTCTTCATAATAAAATATTCTTCTTCCATTCATAATTACACATCAACCAAATTATCCTACTACATAATGTTCCATAATTATCCTCCGATAAAATTTACAAATATAAAAGAAATGAAAAAAATAAACACAATATAAATGAATATAAATTACTTTTTGGAAAGCCTAAAAAATTCCATAATTTCATAATGATAGTTTGTACACATCCTCATTCATCAAAACTCACGAAGAAATTGTCCATCTCTTGTATGGTTTTGCCAAGCGTGTCTTCAAGGCTGCCAAAAATGGCAATTGATGATCCTTTGTTATCTAAAATCAAAATGCATGTAGCATTCATCAGCCTTTTCTCTCTCATAGAACCAAGATTTGTGATCATCAAGAAGTAGAAGATCAACATATTTCTTCAGCAAACACGATGTCAAATATGGATTGCACTGCAACGAAAACATAGCAATTAGATGAGAAATATTGTGAATTTGTAGAAAATCAATTAACGGTAAGATGGTGCTAAAGACTGCAGTTAAATAAAATAAAAATAAAAAAGATATTTGTCACCAGATAAATTTCACCATTTTTTTCACCTACGTGGATCTACACAACAAACACCATATGAACACGTACGACACACCCCAGAATAAAATGGTACCCCCCATATACGCATGGCGTTTGTTGTATGGATCCAAATAGGAGGTTAAAAAAAAGTTTATTTTGGTGGGTGGGGGGGTTGTGGGGGGGAAGAAGAAGAAAATAACTACAGAGTTCCTCAGCTTTAATGACAAATTTCAACAAAGGCCAGCATAGGTGGTATGCAAATTATAACTGGAACCAGCTGTTTTATATGTATAGAAACCCGTAGGCCAAGAAAATTCTCTAGGTATCAGCATAGTGGGACAAATCAAATTTCTAGTCATTAAATCAAGTTGCTATAAAGTTTCCCAACTCAAATGAATTGCTGAAAACAATCCAAGGAAATTATGAATACAAAAAGGTAATTGAAGCAAAAACTCAATCCAACATATCGAGATTTTCTAGGTTTGATAATTTTCAAAATCACGAACTTTGACTTCACCTGATTTTATTATCATAATACTAGATGAACTGATGTAATCTTAACAGACTCAATGTCAAGCCTAGAGTTCCACTAGTGGACCATGAAAAGTAGTACATCAGTTTATTCTTTTGTTTCATCCCCATTTCTTCTGATTATCTTACTTCCCATATCTTTTAGTTTATTTCTCAATTTAATCAATTTCATGATGGCTTTAAATCTGAATTGTTTCTTGCAAACAGAGTTACATAATCTTTTGCTATTGATATTCCAACTCATGGACATTCTTGACACTGAAGTTCAGTTCAGTTATGGTTTTATATAATTTTCATTGCTTCGTTATTAAATAGTTTGCATACCTTCCTCTTTGGGGATGTTTGGTTGATCAACCAAGAGTTGTTGGAGAGCACCTAGATCACTGCCACTGCAGTGATAAAAATTCAAGATATATTCATAAATTCAAGAGAATATAACATAAAAAATACATCAAGGATGTGAATTAGAAACAAGAAGAAGCAAATTATTTATATGAACTGTAGAGAAAGAATTTCAATTTCAACCATTTAATGTGGTAATAAACAAATTTGTCCACACAAACTCATCAACATTTCATGCTCTTTAAACAAGAGAGTGACTGACCATAAAGAAGGTTTACGAATTCCGAGATATAAGGAAGAACTGCAACGCTTTGCATACCTGGGCTTCAAGGCAAGTGCTGAAAGTGCTAATACAATTGATGCTTTAAGAATGTACCTGAAAACTAGAATTGAGTGAGTCTTGAGAATTAAAATAAAAACTTAATGTTGGCTCTGTAATCTATTAATGCAGCAATCACAACTAACAATTATTGGAAGATATGACTTTCATCAATGAACAGGTAACATTATCTAAAACCAAGTGCTTCAGCAAATAGCACACTAAAAAAACAAAACAAAACATACTCCATTGAGAATAGATGGTGGAATGAGAAGAAAGAAACCCTAGTCTCTCGCTGGCATGAAATAAAAAGAGGTTATGAACAATGAGATAGTAGTAGTGCATGTAATGAATGTTATAAAAAAATCAATTAAATTTCTCAATTTAAGTGATGTGCAACCCATACTAGCAACAATCCAGGAATGGAGAAAAGAATATGAAATGACTTTTTAAGTATAAATGTGCACTAAATCCAAATCAATTTAACTAAAACAAAAGAATACAAAAGTCTTTGTTTCAACTCAATGTTCTGCCTACCCAAAAACTACCCATAGCCATCCTAAATTCCTACTTGCAGTGGGGAGGGGGAAAATGTAAGACATTGAGTAGTGAGTAGTTTCCATACTCTGATTGGTGCATCTCGTAAATAAGGCTTAGCGCATCCAGACAATCTGCTAGAGATGGTTTCATACCAATTCGTTGTTGTAGCTGTTTTGGGGCCGCCTGAATAGATCCTGCTTTAACCAGCTGTCTACCATCACGAATAATTTTATTGAGAAAGAAAACGATACCATGAAACTCTTCCCTGGAATAGTTCACAATAAACTAAAAAATTCATACATTTGTCGATGAACCCAATAACTTGAGTACTTCAGAAGTCAATGAGCAAAATCGCTCTTGGTTGCAAAACAATATGATCAACATTATCATGATCAAGAATACATAAAATATTTGAAATGTATCACATATCGTGAAATCCGTCTACTCTCTAAAAACAATGACGATTTTATTCAAGAGTTGATTTGAGAGCATTAAATCATTTCTCCATTTACAAAGCCTTCAAGGAGAGTATGCAACCATTAAAAATTTTGTTCCTATCATTTCAAAAAAAATGCTAAAACTAAAAGCCCTAATCCCAACTTGCTATGCTTACTTTCACAAAATATAAACAAAATCATCACCATAAGTTCAAAAGTTGCGATTTTTTTTCTTATCCAAAATTTTCTCAATAAATTGTACAGAGCAAAAGATAGAAACCCAATAACTTACAGTGTCTTATTCATGGAAAGCAAGATACTGCTATGCTCGCTTTACCAAAATATAAACAAAATAATCATCATAAGTTCAAAAGTTGAGATTTTTTTTCTTATCCAAGATTTTCTCAACAAATTGCACAAGAGTCTGATTCATGGAAAGCAAGATAGATTCCAAAGATTCCATCTGCTTTCTCAAGACCAAATCTTCAATGCCAGCAATACATTTCAAGGCACCATAGTTCTTGGGATTTTGGATAACCTGTAATCAAACAAAAACAAAAAACAAAACACAAATTATAATATGAAGAACAATTCATAAGCTATTTCATATTATAAGTATGTTGTGGTGAATTAGAAGGGGCATGTAACCTCTGAATGATAAAAGATGAGTTCCAGAACTGGGAAAGCAACCTAGATTGAAGTTCGTCCCATCAACTCATCTCTTCTTTCACTTTTCTAAATTTTTGCTGATATTTCTTTACCATACCCTCCATCCTCACCTATCCAAAATTGTAAATCTTCAATTGTTTCCTTTGCAAACATCCAGATGATACTGAAAATTCGATCATATTACAAACATAATTATTAATTAATAAAATGGGTTCCACATTAATAATTAATCAAAAAAAATTAAATCAAATCAAATAAATGAAAAATAACATTAAATGAAACATGCATCAAATGCAATTGCAATTAAATTTTTATTTATTTTTTATCCAATATTTTTTCAAACCACTCATTCTAAGCATAATCAAAAATGTTTGAGAATCTAAAAAATAAAAAATTAATAGGAAATGAGACCAATCAGAACCAGATTTTATAGAATAAGATATTAATCAAAAAAGGAAAATGTAAAAAACAACATTTTGAAAAGAAAATGGAAAGAGAAATTACATGGAGAGCAAGTTGACTGGAAAGAGAAATTAATGCCTTTCTTCGTCCCTCATTCTGAGAATAGAAGTTCCAGAGCGAGAAACAGAGATAGAGATATTCGCGGAAGTCAAACTGGAAGTAGAGCATGAGGGGAGAGAGGGGTTGAAGAAAGATTAGGGCTTGGTCAACGAAGTTGGTGAAGAGACGACGGGTGTCGGAGGGAAAGTCGGAGGGAGGGAAGAGAGGGTAGTCGAAGTTGAGAGAGGAGAGAGAGAACCAGAGGTTTCGCCATTTGTGAGAGAGACAGGTGGTTCGAATGGCATCAAGAGTGGGGAGAAATGAGAGGATGAGGTCCGGGAAGTCATTCAGGTTAGGAACGGTGGTGAAGTCACCGGTTGTCTCCGCCGTCGCCGTCTATCTCGAGAGAGGGGGGTAAGAACAGATTAGGGATTTTTGGGTTTGAGAGATTGGGGATTTTTTTGCTTTTGGGGGCGAGGGAGCGGGAAAGGTAAAAAAAGAAGGGCGGGAACAAAAAAAAAATAAAAAAAAAAAATATATATATATATTTTAAGGGTCAAAAATGAAATTTAAATAACAAAATAACGCCGTCTAATTTTTTATTTTATTTTTTTTTGAGACTGGGGTTGCTATCGTCAAAAAATTTTATTTTTTGTTAAAATATATATATTTTTGTAGTTAATGAATTTTTTTTTAAATTTTTTTTTTAGTTACTAAGATTGAAAATTTATTTGTTTCATTTTTATTTTAATGAAAAAAAATATTATTATTTTTTATTTGGTAGAAGTAGGGGCAATATTTTAATGAAAAATATTTTCCACTAAAATAAAAGTTAATTTTCTATGGTCAATGAAAAATATTTTTCTGCTGCCCATTTTTTTTGGTTATCAAAAATTATGAACTAATTTTTTGTGGTAGAGAAGAGGGAGCGGCAGCAGTGGTGTAGGTGGTGGACAAGAGATGATGGTGGTGGTGGTGGTGGTGGTGATGGCGAAGGAGATTAGTGGTAAAGTTGTGATAGTGGTAGAGTAGATGGAGTAGCAAGGGTGAATGATAGGTAATGGTAGTAGTAATGACAGTAGTTGTAGTGGAGTGGTGGCAATAGTAGTAGTAATAATGGTAGTCGCAGAGGTGAAGTGGCGACAGTGGTAGTAAGGTGGTAGTGGAATGACGTTTGCAGTAGTGGTGAATGTGGTAAAGGAGATAGGTGGTGAGAGAGAGAGAGGTGAGTGAGAGACAGATAGAAGAGAGAAAGAGAGAGAAAAAGAGAGAGACAAAGACAGTAGAGAGATAGAGAGATGAGTGAGAGAGACATAGAGAGAAGAGAGATGAACAAGAGAGATAGAGAGAAGAGAGACAGAGAGAGATGAGAGAGATAGAGAGAAGAGAGATGAGCGAAAGAGACAAAGAGAGAAAAGAGATAGATGAGTGAGAGACACACAGAGAGACAGACAGACAGACAGATAGACAAACAGACAGAGAGAGAAGAGTGATGAGTGAGAGAGAGAAAGAGAAGAAAGAAAGGAAGATGAAAAAATGGATGAAAAGATATAGACACAGAGAGAGAGAGAGAGAGAGAAAGAGCGAAAAGAGATACACGAGAGAGAGACAAAAAGAGATAAGCATGAGAGATAAAGAGAAGAGAGAGAAAAGAGAGACAAAGAGAAAAGAGAGATGAGAGAGATAAAGAGAAGAAAGATGGACGAGAGACACAGAGAGAAAGAGAGACAGACAGACAGACAGAGATGAGTGATGAGTGATGAGTGATGAGTGAGAGAGAGAAAGAAAAGAAAGACAGAGACATAGAGAGAAATAAAGAGACAGACAGACAAAGAAGAGTGATGAGTGAGAGAGAGAAAGAGAGATAAGAGAGACAGAGACACATAGAGAGAGAGACAGAGACAGACAGAGAAGAGCAAGAGAGAGAGAGAAAAAAGAGCAAAAAGAGATAAACGAGAGAGAGACAGAAAGAGATGAGCGAGAGAGCGAGAGAGAAAAAAAGAGAGAGAGAGAAGATATATGAAAGAGATAGAGAGAAGAGAGATGAACGAGAGACACAGAGAAAAAGAAAGAGACAGACAGACAGAGAAGAGCGATGAGTATGAGAGAGAAAGAGAAAAGAGACAGAGACACAGAGAGAAAGAGAAAGAGGGACAAACAGAGAAGAGTGATGAGTGAAAGAAAGAGACAGCAAGAGAAGAGAGACAAAGACATATAGAGAAAGGGAGAGACAGACAGACAGAGAAAAATGATGAGTAAGAGAGAGAAAGAGAAGAGAGATAGAGACAGAGAGATAGGAAGATGAAAAAATAGATGAAAAGAGAAATGTTCAAAAGAGTAAGACGACGTCGTTTATAGTGGATCGATAAATCGAGAAGGAGCTCGATAAATAGAGAAGATGAGAGTAAGAGAGTGAGCAAGGCGGACATAGTGAGGGAGAAACAAACAAATAGATAAGTAGACAGAGAGAGAGAAAAGAGTGATAAGTGTGAGAGAGAGAGAGAGAGATAGACAGAAAAAGAGATAGAGAGAGAAAAAGAGAGAGAAAGAGAGAGAGAGATAGAGGAAGAGATTGAAAAAGAGAGAAACAAGAGATGAGCGAGAGATAAACAAAAATTGAGAGAAATAGAGCGAAAAGAGATGAGCGAGAGAGAGAGAGAGAGAGACACAAAAAAAGAGAGAGACAGAGAAAGAAGAGAAATGGGTGAGAGAGATAGAAAGATAAGAGAGAGATATAGAGAAAGAGAGAGAAAAGAAATGAGAGAGATAGAGAGAGAGAGATGAGCGAGAAAGACAGAGAGAGAAAACAGATGAGAAAGATAGAGAGAAGAGAGATATGCGAGAGACGGAGAGAAAATGAGAGAGAGAAACAGACAGACAGAGAAAGAAGAATGATGAGTGAAAGAGATAAAGAGAAGAGAGAGATAGAGACAGAGAGACAGGAAGATGAAAAAATGAATGAAAAGAGAAATGTTATATCAAAAGAGTAAGACGACATTGCTTTTTTTAATTTTTTTTGCGACAGAAAAATACCCTTGAATTTATTCAAACCATTTTGTGACTGTATATATATGAAGCTGTCTCAAAACCACAATCACTATGCTAGGTTAGAGTTTTCCAAAAACTTTTTTGAGAAAATTATACTTTCTTGTTTTTCGTGTTATATTGTTTTTACTGAATTTTTTTAATATTTTAAGTATTTTTTTTTTAATTTTTAGACACACCTAACATAAATACACCTAAAAATTAAAAAAATTATAAATTTTTTTTTAAAAAAAATTCACTATATACAAAAAATACAATAATTCAATACATTTTTTTTTGTATTTTTATGTATTTATTAATTTTTTTTTAAAAAAATTCATATTTTTTTTAGATACATCTAAGTAAGGTGCATCTAAAAAAAATATTTAAAATTTTAAAAATATTCACTAAAAATAAATAAAAAAAACACGAAAGTCACTTTTTGCGATGGCAGAAAATGCTGTCTCAAAAAAACAGAGTATTTGCGACGACACCATTTGCCGTCTCAAAAATACATGCATGTGCATCAAAAAAACAGAGCATTTGCGACGGCACTA